GATGATAGTAAATTAACCTCTATTGATTAAATTCCTCTTCCCACGCAGGCACAAAAAGATACATTGCAATGGAGAGAGATGGGGTTCAGTGGGCTGAGAATAAGATGGGAAGCTAGGTGCTCTCGATCCCTATTCCGATGTCTGACACCACCCTTGTCATTACATTTCACCTCTCTGTTTCGGTTTTCCCCACCTATACACAGTATACTCCTGTTTATCTGAAACCCGATTATCTGAACTTCTGTGTTATCTGAATCTGTTTCTTGTCTGCACCCCCCTCCCCCAAAAAACAACTGCCCATGTGCTACCCTGCCCAGCTGCTGGCGTGCAAAGCCCTAGTGAAAGCCCCTGCCCAGCTGCTGGCGTGCAAACCCCTAGTGAAAGCCCCTGCCCAGCTGCTGGCGTGCAAACCCCTAGTGAAAGCCCCTGCCCAGCTGCTGGCGTGCAAAGCCCTAGTGAAAGCCCCTGCCCAGCTGCTGGCGTGCAAAGCCCTAGTGAAAGCCCCTGCCCAGCTGCTGACGTGCAAACCCCTAGTGAAAGCCCCTGCCCAGCTGCTGGCGTGCAAACCCCTAGTGAAAGCCCCTGCCCAGCTGCTGGCATGAACCCCGCTGCCACCTATGCATGCACATCCCCACTCATTGCTCTCTGCCCTTCTCCCCACCCCTTCGCCACGGAGTTGCTCGGCGTTGTAGCTCTCGCCCTAGCTTATGCAGAACCGAGGTGCTCAGCTCTCTTCGACGCAGCCTCTGTGCTGCTCCCTGGGCGGCCCGAAGGAGCCAATGCTGGGGCATGTGCGCCCCGAGCCAAGCAGCCACAGGAGCCTGGGTGCCGGGGAGTCTGCTGCCGTGAGGTTACTGTACATGCATAATGACAACAGCTAAGTCTGGACCCTGTCCAGCTGTTTCTGACTGAGGGAGAGGACTGGGACGAAGGGCTGCTTTCTCCATTATCCAAATGGAATCCATCTTGCCTGTGCTATTTGGATAAATAGCAGTGTATTGTAATGGGGCTAAAATTCCCCCGGCCTTGGGGGCGGGGGAAGGGGAGGGGGAATTAAAGATTGGAAAGCCCTCTGGGAGGTGATCAGTCAACCATGATAACTGCTGTTATAGCCACTGCTGTTAGTGATTGCTACTCTGCAGCACAAAGGGCTGGTTCTTGTGGGGCGTGGGGTACGTGGCCACTCCTGCTGACTTCATTAAGTATTAAGTATCCTGACCCTCCTGGACCAGAGCAATCAGCCAGTGCTGCCTTCATTTTAACCTTAGAAATCTCGGTAAACTCACTAATCACTCCAGGCCCTGGGACTGTGGCCTTGGGAGTCCCCAAGATGCTGCCCGGGGGAGTAGTTCTTGTCGTCATAACACACCTGGCCCCGTAAGGTTAATCAGTCGCTTCCCATCCCCCCCTCAGTAAAGTCTTTCCTTCATAAAACCAGCTTAGCGAACAGTTTCTCCCCAGCAGCTCTCCCAGCGCCAACCGCATCCAGACACGTCTAAAGGTGAATCCCATAAACTCTGACCTGCATTTGACTCAAAGGGAGAAATGTTTGGCTTCCCTTTGTATTTCAGGCCCATGCCAGTCTCTGTTGGAATCTGTTTCTTTTCATCATCCTTGTTCTACCAGCGTCTGCCCAACTGTGGGAAAGTCGGTCTGGTTCTTGGTGTTATGTTGGGGGCGGGGGGGAACTTGAGATCTGGGCTCAGTTCCAGGCTCGGTCACAAACGTCTTGGCTAAGTCACTGAATCGCTCTGGGGCTTGGTTCCCTCTCCTGCTTATTTTAGATATTTCTATGGCCCCCTCCTCGTAGTATCTGGGCACCGCAAACTTTCATTTATCTCCCCAATCCCCTTGCAAGTCCTGTGATCTCCATACAGTTGGGGAACTGAGGCATGGAAAGATCAAGTGGCACACACAAAGTCTGTGGCAGAGGTGGGAATTTAACCTAGGTCGCCTAGGTCCCAGGCTAGCACCCAAAACTCTGGACTGTCTTTCCTGTCGCTGTGGGGGAAGGGGGTAGATTCTCTCCCTTTCTCTTTCTCTGTGCAGTGCAGCTGATTTAGTGGGATCTGTTTCGGTTCTACTAAAAACACGGGAAATTGGTTCCCAGTATCAGAACTGGCAGACCAACACTGTTGCCCGCTGGCTGGGTGGAGGAATTCATACAGTAGCAAGTGAAATGCTGCCCCTTTTTGTGTGACCAGAATGATTTCAGATTAAAACTGGCAATGGTGGCTGTCATAAATATAAAGGGAAGGGTAAACACCTTTAAAATCCCTCCTGGCCAGAGGAAAAACCTTTTCACCTGCAAAGGGTTAAGAAGCTAGGATAACCTCACTGGCACCTGACCAGAATGACCAATGAGGAGACGAGATACTTTCAAAAGCTGGGGGGAGGGAGAAACAAAGCCCCTCTCTCTCTGTCTGTGTGATGCTTTGGCTGGGGACAGAACAGGAATGGAGTCTTAGAACTTAGTAAGTAATCTAGCTAGATATGTGTTAGATTCTGATTCCTTTAAATGGCTGAGAAAATAAGCTGTGCTGAATGGAATGGATATTCCTGTTTTTGTGTCTTTTTGTAACTTAAGGTTTTGTCTAGAGGGATTCTCTGTTTTGAATCTAATTACCCTGTAAGGAGTTTACCATCCTGATTTTACAGAGGTGATTCTTTTTCTTCTATTAAAATTCTTCTTTTAAGAAACTGAATGCTTTTTCATTTTTCTGAAGATCCAAGGGTTTGGGTCTGTGGTCACCTATGCAAATTGGTGAGGATTTTTATCAAACCTTTCCCAGGAAAGGGGGTGTAACGTTTGGGAGGATTTTGGGGGGAAAGACATTTCCAAACGGACTCTTTCATAGTAATATACTGGTTAGATGTTTGGTGGTGGCAGCGAAAGTCCAAGGGCAAAAGGTAAAATAGTTTGTACCTTGGGGAAGTTTTAACCTAAGATGGTAAAAATAAGCTTAAGAGGTTTTCATGCAGGTCCCCACATCTGTACCCTAGAGTTCAGAGTGGGGAAGAAACCTTGACAATGGCATACCTCACATATAACTTGCCTTTAAAGACAGAGGCCCTAGCATCCAGTGGGAAATGGCCTCTGTGTTAAAACTGGCCATTAAAAGTTGAAAAATCCCAAATTGCTCCATCACTGATTTTTTTTTTTTTTAAGGGAAAAAAACAATTCAGTACTTACGCAGGATCTAGATGAAAAAGTGGTGTCATCCAATAAGCTGCCCAGCAGCAGTCAAATGCTCTTCCAGGGCCGTTCTGACTGATGCAAGTGCCTAACCAAAAAGTGAGTTAATTTCAAGGTTCATTACAAATAGAAGAGCCTGCAGCCCCTTAGGTATCGCAGGGTAGGTATGAATTTCTAGGTATGAATTACTCTCCAGTGCATCATTTAAGAATGGTTTTTAGAACAGCGTGATTGGCTCCCACCCCTTGGCTTTTTCTCTAAGCCTCTTGTCCATCTCCCCTCCCCCACAATTTTTAATGCATTTTGCAGTTTAAACTGAGGGCCTTAAAGATGCATTAACAATTTAAACCAATCGAAAGCTTTAGAGCATCTTGAACAGATAAACCAATCTAAAGTGTTGGATTGTTTTAATCTTCTTAATTTGCCTTATGGGCTAAAATACTATTCTATAGCACCAGCTGTTGCTTAGCATTGTTCACAAGCACATGAGACATGGTCCCTACTCTGAGATCTTGCCTTCCAAGGCCCTGATCTTGCAAAAGCATGTGCAGATGCTTGCTTATTATTATTATTTGTCTGACTGTGGCACCAGGGACCCCTACTGTGCGAGATGATGTACAAGTAATCCCACTGAAGTAATGAGGTTACACACATGAATAAAGTTACATATGTGCAGGGTCAGGACCTCCATTAGCATTGAAACACCTAAAAAAATGGACTTAAACCGGAAAAAGATTATGAAAAGGACCAAAAAATGGACCCAATAGGAGAGGGGTTCGGCAGCATCTCTGGAACTCTTCACATCTGGGCCTGGAAAGAATTGGAAGGGTTAACAAACACACATCTCGATGCTGAGCATAGTTTCCCTCTGCCTGCCCACACAGCCCGAGTGGAAGAACTCTGCACAGAAATCCACATTGCGTTCTCTTTGCATGTTGCTTTGCGCTCACCTTCCATAAATAGCTGGGTTTAAACACTCTGGATATGAGGCAAACAAGGGCCGTTCAATTCCAATTAACCTTTAAATGATCTCTTACCTTGAAATATGCCATTATTTTCTTGCACCTTGACCTGATACCAGTGCTTTGGCTCTGTTGGCTTCAGTCACGTCAGCAATGGCATTATGCCACAGGTGAATGGACCCCATTGTGGCTTTCCTGCTGGGAGAATCAAACCCGCTTGTTTCAGTGTAATGCCATGTGTATCGAAGCAGTGAAATATGGACCCCTCCACAGCCAGGACTTCCCTATAGATGCACTGTTTGCCACAGAGAAAATGCTTGAGTAGGTGGCTGGTCTGTCGAATTTGCCTCTCTTCAAGGGGCAACCAGCCTTAATTGTGTCCATCTAGTTCAAAGTCTCTCTTCTTATTTATTGATTATAGGGATGGAGCTAGGCTGTCCTCAATGGTGGCAGATGACGGAACAAGAAGCAATGGTCTCCAGTTGCAGTGGGGGCAGTCTAGGTTGGATATTAGGAAACAGTATTTCACTAGGAGGGTGATGAAGCACTGGAATGGGTTACCTAGGGAGGTGGTGGAATCTCCATCCTTAGAGGTTTTTAAGGTCTGGCTTGACAAAGCCCTGGCTGGGATGATTTAGTTGGTGTTGGCCCTGCTTTGAGCAGGGGTTGGACTAGATGACCTTCTGAGGTCTCTTCCAACTCTAATATTCTATGATTAGAGAAAGTGAGAACTTTGGCTTCTGCATTTCTGTTCTTATGCATGTCAGTTAAGATGGTGGCAGCCTGGTGAGGGGGATGTGCATGTGTTTATGCTTCTCCTGCTTTCTCCCCTTCCTTTCTAGGGAGCTCAAGCTGCGAAATTACGTTCCTGAGGATGAAGATCTCAAGAAAAGGAAGGTGCCTCAGGCCAAGCCAGCCTCAGGTAGGTGCTGGAGAGGGAGTTTTTGAGAGCTTGGGAAGGTCGTAACGATGCCTTCCCCCATTCTCCCAGGCAGGATCCCCTGGGAGAATAACGTGAGGGGGAAAGGAGTCCAGGAGAGCTGGCTGTATTTTAAAGAATCCTTATTGAGGTTACAGGGACAAACCATCCCAATGTGTAGAAAGAATAGTAAATATGACAGGCGATCAGCTTGGCTTAACAGTGAAATCCTTGCTGACCTTAAACACAAAAAAGAACCTTACAAGAAGTGGAAGACTGGACAAATGAGCAGGGAGGAATGTAAAAAATATTGCTCAGGCATGCAGGAGTGAAATCAGGAAGGTCAAATCACATTTGGAGCTGCAGCTAGCAAGAGATGTTAAGAGTAACAAGAAGGGTTTCTTCAGGTATGTTAGCAACAAGAAGAAATTCAAGGAAAGTGTGGGCCCCTTACTGAATGAGGGAGACAACCTAGTGACAGAGGATGTGGAAAAAGCTAATGTACTCAATGCTTTTTTTGCCTCTGTCTTCACGAACAAGGTCAGCTCCCAGACTACTGCAATGGGCAGCACAGCATGGGGAGCGAGGTGACCAGCCCTTTGTGGAGAAAGAAGTGGTTCGGGACTATTTAGAAAAGCTGGACGAGCACAAGTTCATGGGGCTGGATGTGCTGCATCCAAGAGTGCTAAAGGAGTTGGCAGATGTGATTGCAGAGCCATTGGCCATTATCTTTGAAAACTCATGGTGATTAGGGGAGGTCCCAGAAGACTGGAAAAAGGCTAATGTCGTGCCCATCTTTTAAAAAAGGAAAGGAGGAGGATCCTGGGAACTACAGGCCAGTCAGCTTCACCTCAGTCCCTGGAAAAATCATGGAGCAGGTCCTCAAGGAATCAATTCTGAAGCACTTAGAGGAGAGGAAAGTGATCAGGAACAGTCAGCATGGATTCACCAAGGGCAAGTCATGCCTGACTAATCTAATTGCCTTCTATGACGAGATAACTGGCTCTGTGGATGAGGGGAAAGCAGTGGACGTGTTGTTCCTTGACTTTAGCAAAGCTTTTGACACGGTCTCCCACAGTATTCTTGCCAGCAAGTTAAAGAAGTATGAGCTGGATGAATGGACTATAAGGTGGATAGAAAGCTGGCTAGATCATCCGGTTCAATGGGTAGTGATCAATGGCTCCATGTCTAGTTGGCCACGTGTATCAAGCGGAGTGCCCCAAGGGTCGGTCCTGGAGCTGGTTTTGTTCAATATCTTCATTAATGATCTGGAGGATGGTGTGGATTGCACCCTCAGCAAGTTTGCCGATGACACTAAACTGGGAGGAAAGGTAGATACGCTGGAGGGTAGGGATAGGATACAGAGGGACTTAAACAAATTGGAGGATTGGGCCAAAAGAAATCTGATGAGGTTCAACAAGGACAAGTGCAGAGTCCTGCACTTAGGATGGAAGAATCCCATGCACCGCTACAGACTAGGGACCAAATGGCTCGGCAGCAGTTCTGCAGAATAGGACCTAGGGGTTACAGTGGACAAGAAGCTGGATATGAGTCAACAATGTGCCCTTGTTGCCAAGAAGGCCAATGGCATTTTGGGGTGTATAAGTAGGGGCATTGCCAGCAGATCGAGGGATTTGATTGTTCCCCTCTATTCGACATTGGTGAGGCCTCATCTGGAGTACTGTGTCCAGTTTTGGACCCCACACTACAAGAAGGATGTGGAAAAATTGGAAAGCGTCCAGCGGAGGGCAACAGAAATGATTAGGGGACTGGAACACATGACTTATGAGGAGAGGCTGAGGGAACTGGGATTGTTTAGTCTGCGGGAGAGAAGAATGAGGGGGGATTTGAAAGCTGTTTTCAACTACCTGAAAGGGGGTTCCAAAGAGGATGGATCTAGACTGTTCTCCGTAGTAGGAGATGTCAGAATAAGGAGTAATAGTCTCAAGTTGCAGTGGGGGAGATTTAGGTTGGATATTAGGAAAACCTTTTTCACTAGGAGGGTGGTGAAACACTGGAATGCGTTACCTAGGGAGGTGGTGGAATCTCCTTCCTTAGAAGTTTTTAAGGTCAGGCTTGACAAAGTCCTGGCTGGGATGATTTAGTTGGTGGTGGTCCTGCTTTGAGCAGGTGGTTGGACTAGATGACCTCCTGAGGTCCCTTCCAACCCTGATATTCTATGATTCTATGATTTAAAAAACAAAACTTAGAAGATGTGAAAGATACTGGATTGATCACCCTGGAGAGTGAAGTCCTCTGCCTATAGGACAGGGTCAGCAGCAGGCCCAATTTCCTGCACCTTGCCCTATCTGGAGAGACCACCTCTGCTAGTGCTGTAGCAGGAACGCTTCAATCCTTGGCCTCTGCTCTAGCTGCCAACAAGGGCCCCGTTACAGTTTTCATCTAGATCCTTTCCACTCGTCACTGGGAGGAGATCCACCATACACCATCCGTTAAGCCACTGACCTTCGCTACCTTTGACCCTGTTACCTTGAGGGGAAAGGTTCCATATCACCAGTACTTTCTTTTTTAATTCAAACCAAGTGTTGGAAACCTGCCTAACTTTTTTTTTTTTCAGTCCGATTTATTATGATAAACCAGGTGGCACTGGGCACGTGCCTACCACTCTGGGAATTTAGTACCAGCTGCACTCCCCGCTCTGAAGAGATTAGTCTAACCGAGTCTCTCTCCAGTATTTACACTGTTATTGCTCCTCCCACGGTCGGTCAGTCTTAGTGTCAAACTTGGTCCAACTCAGCTGTGTGGTACCCAGTGCCCGGTTGGGGAATCTCGAATGGCTCGGAGGGTGAATGAAATCATCGTTCCCAGCAGTATCTGAGAATTGAGCAGTGAATTGGCCCTACAGAGACTAGACTAGAGTGGTTCAGTGCCCATGTCTGGGTTTTTATACTTCATATAAACCTCTCCCACAGACTGTGGCAATTACCAGCGGGAAATGAGCAGGAGTTGGGACGGCATAGGCAGGAACAACAGCGTGGCTTCACCTCCCAGCAGATGTAACTACCACGTCATTTATGCTTATGTTTCCAAAGAATGGGCCAGAGGCTTCTCAACAGGGCAATCAATCCTTTCTTCTCTGGCTCATGGGTTTGACTCCAGCTTGGGTTAGAAGTGATGGAAAGGGCTTTCCTGTTATCGGCAGTGTGAGATGGCCTGTGTGAAATGAGTCTGTGAGGTTCAGAACCAATTCTGTTACACCGGAGTCTGTCTCTCACTAACAGGCTCCGTTGAGCGGCTCGGCAGATGTGCCAAGGATCGAAGGAGCATGGAGACCGCCCTCCAGTGGTGGTTCCCTTGAGGTCGGGGTTGAGGCACATCAGTGTGACAGTGTGGAGGAGATTATATTGTGACTGCCCTTGCCGAAGCTTTTCTGTGGGCCCACAGCATTGGGCCAAAGGTTCCCAACGTGGGTGCCTAAAATTAGCTATGGAAAGCCAAATTCAGGCCTGTAAAGTAGTCATTTGATTTTCAGAGGAGCAGGGCTCTCCTGGAAGTCAGTGAGAGCTGTGAGTGCCCAGCACCCTCCGAGAATCAGGCCACTTCTATTCAGGTACCTAACTTTTTAAACAACTATGTTTGAAACTATTAGCCATAACTTCAGGGCTTTCAATCTGGCACCGTTCTCCAGCTTGAAAATCCATGTACCCTTAATTAATGTAAAACAAAAATCCCGATTTGTCTTGCTGCCAGCATGGTGGTGGTAAACCCTCACAGAAGAGAGCTCTTTAAAATATGTGCCAAACAATGGGAGTAGCAGGAATGAGTTCGGGGTATTCCTCTTCATCCTTTCCTGAGTGCGGGAGTGGTGGGTATAATTAGAAATACTGGGGCCTCTGTGGATCTCAGCTGTGGGCAGAATCTCATAGTTTGCCCTCCTGGGAAACAATAACGGCATTTTCCCACAGTCATCAGAGTGGGAAGGGGGCATAGCTGCCTCGATTGTTTCTAGGGATGTCTGAGAACCGGTCGTCTTTACCAGCCCCTCGACAGAGCTATGACCTCCTTTAAAGAGAACACCAGCGGCTTGTAATAGACCAACGCTGCCTTCAGGAGCCTTGCCTCTGAAAGCGTGTGGTGCTGTATGTCTTGGGAAAGGAGTTGCTCTGTAGCTAAAGCATGGAAATTTGGGGTTTAGGCTTGTTTAAAATCATTGATTTGATTGCGGGGGGGGGGGGCAGAGATAAGTCAGGAATCCTGATGTGTATCAAAACAGGGTGTATTCATTTAAAACCACATAAGTAAATTAGTTTGACGTAGAGGTCAGGTAACAAAATGGAGAGGACCTCTCTACTGCAAGTCCTCCCATGTCACAGCCTGATCTTACAGTATGGAGCAGTGATTCTCGACCTATTTACTATTGTGGGCTGCATGTGCAGCTCTCTGTGTTATGTGGGCCGCATCCACACACTATATATACTTCCTGTATGGCCCTGATGATGTCACATGGGCTGCAGCTGTAGTGGGCTGCTAGGAGCCCGCGAGCCACAGGTTCAGAACCACTGGTATAGAGAGAGCTCCTTCCTGTCGCCTGAACTGAACCATGCTCTAAGCAGAGTCGGTATCTAACCATATTATAGTCCTAGCCTGAGTTTGCCAAGGGAGTAGAGCAGGTTCTGCTCTGTGACAGCCCCCTTCACTAATCCTACTTCATCTTTTCCGTGTTTCTGTGTTTTTGTTTCCATCATTCAAAGCCGTTTCCTCTCTGGCCAGGAGCATCCATGGAAGCACAAAACAGGCACAAATTAAACCAACAGGCTAGAGTTTCCCACTCCTCAATGGGCATCTGCAGTCTGCATTTCTAACACCCGGGGGAGGGGGCATGGGATAGAAATAGCACTCGCAAGTGCAGAGTCATGGCCACCAGTAAATATTGCTGTGCTCGGAGTGTCCGGGCCTCTCCCTCTTGCAATGTCTGAGCAGAAAGAAAGATGGAATTCTGCCGTTGGTTTCTCCCTGTCTCTTGTTCCACTTGAGGCTTTACATTAGTTTTGAAGCAGGGATTTTAATCTAGTTTGGGTACTTCTCTGAGTTCAGAGTTCTCCCGGTCGGGGTGTTTCATTCTCAGTGGTGGATGTGCCCATCACAGGAGGGAAGGAGGTATCATATGCTGTGTGTAAGTCTGAGTTCTGGGATGGATAATGTAAAGAATTACGATAAGGAGTTTAAAAGTAACTTGCCACAGAGCTGTGGAGTGGGAAGTCTCCCATGATTACTCTAAATACAGTAATAGCTGGGAATAAAGATTGCCAATCATCTTTTCAATGCTTCAGATTGTGGGACTCTGTCCTTCCACTAAGACAGTGTTTCTCAGCGACCAGTGGACTGGTGCCAGTCCCTGAGATCCCCCTACCGCAGTCTAGGAAGGCAGCAAGCTGGTCCCTGTTGAGAGGGACGGCTCTAGAAAATGCTGGAAGGCTCTGTCCTGTGCATCCCTACTTGCTTTAAATTGACATAGTCAACTCAAGTCATATGTTATAAGCAAATCCATTTCCTTTCCAATGTTACAGCAGCAGAGGTTGGACTCAAACCGGGTTTTAATATAATTGACTTCAGGACTGCTGCTGTTCACTTCTTGCATTTCTCTCGGTTCGGACGATGGACATCAGTTTCACGTGGTTTATGGTCTGTTTTGCTTCTGGAGTGCAGTGTTTGGGTTGCAAAAGTTGCAGGGGAATGTTTTTGTAGAGAAGCATGCCTGTTGGGGTTAGGTTTTGTAAAAGCTTCTTAAATACCAAAGTGAAGCATCGTCTTCATGCTGGCTTTCTTATAAGTCACTTTGTTAACATCACATCAGCCATGCTATCAGAGGCTCGTTCACCTGCACATCTACCAATGTGATAGATGCCATCATGTGCCAGCAATGCCCCTCTGCCATATACATTGGCCAAACTGGACAGTCTCTACGTAAAAGAGTAAATGGACACAAATCAGACGTCAAGATTTATAACATTCAAAAACCTGTCGGAGAACACTTCAATCTCTCAGGTCACTAGATTAGAGATCTAAAAGTTGCAATTCTTCAACAAAAAAACTTCAAAAACAGACTCCAATGAGAGACTGCTGAATTGGAATTAATTTGCAAACTGGACACTATTAAATTAGGCTTGAAAAAGACTGGGAGTGGATGTGTCATTACACAAAGTAAAACTATTTCCCCATGTTTAGTCCATACGTGACACACACACACCCCCCCCCCCCCCGTTCCTCACACGTTCTTGTCAACTGCTGGAAATGGCCCATCTTGATTATCATTACAAAAGGTTTCTTTTCTCTCTTCCTGGTAATAGCTCACCTTAACGGATCACTCTCGTTACAGTGTGTATGGTAACACCCATTGTTTCATGTTCTCTGTGTATATAAAATCGTCCTAATGTATTTTCCACTGCATGCATCTGATGAAGTGGGCTGTAGCCAATGAAAGCTTATGCTCAAATAAATTTGTTGGTCTCTAAGGTGCCACAAGTCCTCCTGTTCTTTTTGCGGATACAGAGTAACATGGCTGCTACTCCTGAAATTTGTTAACATTTGTTGTTCTGTTGTTCCCTCTAGTGGAAGATAAGGTGAAAGACCAACTGGAAGCAGCGAAGCCAGAGCCTATTATTGAAGAAGTGGTATGTGTCTTGGTCTTCAATATCTGCTTTGAAATATAATTGTGCACACTTGTAAACTCACTCTTTTCCATTACATGAGTTTGGCTGATCTTAATCAGAATTCCTTTGTTCCTTTTCCCCTAGGATTTGGCAAACCTCGCCCCCAGAAAGCCAGACTGGTAAGTGCGATTTTAGGAATCAGCTTGCATAGATTCAGTCCTTTTAGTCCTAAACATCCGCGTGTGTGTTCATGGTCGCAGGGACGCTCTCCAGCTATTTCCATAACTTTAACCCTGTTAAGGTTGTACCACCTGGGATTACAAAAAATTGGGAAACTTATGTTCAGTATCAAGGGAAACTTCCCAGTAGCGAGATCTGAGCGTAGAACAGTCTCCTAAGGAGAGAAATAAAATCCCCATCCCTGGACATCACAAAAGTTAGACTGCAGAAAACCCTAGTAAATGTCCTGTAGAGAATGAACAAGCTCTGGCTTTTGGGATTAGCTAGATGGGACAGATAAGTGGTGCTGATCTCCACCTTCTGGGAGTTTCTAGGATGGATACAATTTGTCTTGTTTCTATTTGCCTACTGATGAAAGGATCTGGTGAAGCTTGTATTCTTTGCACTGCGGTTGCATGTGGAGGCTCGATTGGGGTCAAGGCCCTGGTGTGCTTGGTACTGTACAAACACACTGTGAACGATGGTCCCACAGCATGACAGCACCCTGATTTCAGCACGTGGACAGGCACCAGGCTTCACGCACACAGCTGGAACAGCATGTGCAGGATAACAAGCTAAGGAATATGTTACTGACAGGGCCCTCCGAAGCCAAGAGCATCTGTGTTCAAAGAGTGTGGGACAGGTTTCTGATGGAAGTGAGGGGCACAGAAGGGCCTGGCCCAATGTTCTCCTCAGCTGGATTTTCACATCCTCCTGTTCTGAAGCCCGATAGATGGAGGTGGCCTGTGTGGCCGCTCAGCAGTGGGTGCGTTAGACCGTTTCTCCCCAAGGGGTCCTCACTGGTTGAGTGTTGGTGTTTTGTGCTCAGCTGGTGAGTTGGCTTCTCTTTGAGTTTGACTATTGTTGTGCCACATGGATCGCTGGGCATGGGCGTTGAGGAGGGACTAATGTGAGTTGTGGGTCTTGCGAAGTGTCAGCAATTCAGAGACACTTGTGGCCACCAGGAATCTCATGGAATCCTCGGTCTTGTAGATGGTGCTTCTCTTCTCACACTTAGGAAGGGCAAGAATTGCCCTATGGGGAGGGGCAGAGGCCAAAGATTTCTTCATTCCCCTTCTTCCCCCAGTGAGGTGAAACTCCCCCGCGCCCCCATGAAGCTGGCACTTTTCTTACCCTTTCCATCTAATTCCTGTTTTAAGGGAATGCCGCTGCTCCCCTGCTCTGGTGGTGGTATTTAGGGACCACCAGTGGCAGGGGTATTCCATCCGACTGGTCTGCATGGCCCTTGCATTGGCTCTGATGATGATTAAAGTGCTGGCAGCTTGCTCTGTAAGACACAATCTCTGCCCCAAGGAGCTTACACTGCAGATGCGGTGTTTGTGGCTGTTCTTCATTTGAGACCCCAGACTGGCTCTGAATAGACTCATGGATCCCTTCTGCTGGGCTAGCTGGTGGGCTAGCTTTGTGTCTGGGTGTGCTTGTGTGTTGGGCTTTTTTGCTAAATTACAATCCTCTCCCCCAGGGATTTAAAGCGAGACGTAGCCAAGAAACTGGAAAAACTGGAGAAGAGAACGCAAAGGGCAATTGCTGAATTGATAAGTAAGTGCACTGCTGCTGTTGAACTAACGTGGAAATGGTTATAGACTTGGAAGGACTGGGGCCAAGATTTTTCAAAGGCAGGAGACAAAAATTAGGCTCTTTAATTGATCTGTATGAATCTGTATAAGTGCTCCCAGCAGTTGCTTCTGAGCTCAGAAGGATCTCCGGGGGAGCTCAGCTCTTTGAGAAGCAGACTATTTACTTAGGTGCCTCCATATTTATCTTTGAAAATCGTGGCCTCATTTTCAGGCAGTAAATATTGTTGATGGTCCATGACACATTTCAGGGTGCAATTCAGACCATTGGGAGGTTGGGTCACTGCTTGTATTACAACCCTGAATGCCCCGAAGTGCTGCTTTTGCTCCCTGCCTGGATCTCCTCCAGAACTCAAAGGGCTGGTTCCTTTGTCATTTTAGGTGAGAGAGAGAATTTGGGTTTTCTGCCCCTTTCTTTTATAGTCCAGTGAACCTTTGAAATGGATTCTTCTGAAGGTTACCCTCAAAGTACGGTTCCTTCAAGCTGTGAGGAAGGCAACATTGAGTCTGGTGGAGAAGGAAGTTCCCTGCTCTTTCTTCCCTCCCAGGTGTTTGCTAAAATGCAAAGTGTTCTCTTTCCTGTGATCTCCTCCCCTTCTTAGTTTGATGGCCCCATTTACTGCTTATATGTCAATTGAGGTAAACGCCCATTCCTTTCTTTAGGACAGACCAGTTTACCAAATCCCCGGGACATGCCTGGTTTAAACACACTTTAGTCATAATTCCAGCATGTACTCAGAACTCTTTACACACTACACAAGCCTAGTAATGATCAGTGACTTATTAGTTTTCAAATCATTCTGCACAAGGTGTGTTTTGTATAAAGAGTATTACAGTTGTGTGTAGCGTGTGAACAGAGAGGTGCATAGGGTCACAGCCAGTTTCTCACTCAGTCTAGAAAGCAACAGAAAGGACTTTACAACACGACTGGAAATGAACAGAGAGAGTGTTTTAAACATGTTGGACTTGTAGAGAGCTGGAGCTCTCTGGACAACGCTTAGCACCGATGCTGTAACTTTATTTCCAGTTCTGCTCTGAATCTTCATGGCTGAGAACGATCTCCAGTGCAAGATCAGTGGAGCTCAGCAGAACTTTTTAAAACGAAAGGCTGTGGAATAGTGTCAGGAATGAGCCCCCCAGGTGCCCTCTCTCTAGAGGCATTGAGGTGGTCTCTGGAGTGAAGAGTAATGCTGCCTTCCTCTGGTAGTCAGCCAGCCAGATTGTGTTGGTCCTCAGACCATGTTTCCAGCCAAGCCCTCACCGGATATGTTTAAACCATTGTTAGTTCCCCTTGATTGCTTCCCTGATGGGCGGGTGGCTGGTTCGGGGAGGGGTAATACGGCTGCCCACCGTGGGCAGATAGACATGTCTATGGGATGTGCCCCGAGGCTACAGTGGTACAGGTTGTACAGTAGAATCCAGATTCGCTCAGCCAGTTGGGTGACACCCACATCCACTCCAGAAATAACTGGGACCTGAGCCAATTCAGAGTCAATGGAGCAGGGAGACTTGCTGGCAAGGTTGGTGGACATCCTGGAAGTTTGGGTAGCACAGTTCAGATCACCCCCTTAACGTGCCGTTCTAAACTCCGGTTACACAATGATTGCTGACTGGCTTTTCTGTTGCCCGCACAGGAGAGCGATTGAGAGGCCAAGAGGAAGAACTGGCATCAGCTGTTGGATCAGCAAAGCAGGAAGGAAGTGATTCTGATTAAGGAGGTCTGGTTAGCTGTCTCAGAGCACAGACGCATTGGGATTTGTCAGATTGGTCTTGTCACTCTTGCTAACAGAATCCTTAACTCCCTTGGACTTGGGTAGAGGGTAGTGTCTCTCTGAGACTTGAATGCTTTAGCCACATCTCCTAAAGGGGCAGGTATGGGGAGCCCTGCAGTCCTGTCTAGACCCACAAGCATGTGGCTTGCTGTGTGTGAGCATTTCACACGGGAATGCTCCATACAACGTGCATGTTGCACACTGCGTTCTCATCCCCCGGCGAGCGTGCCTGGCTCTCTGGCTCAGCTTCACAGGGGGTGATCATTGCAGTATGTGGTTTGGGATTGCTGGGGGGAGGGTGTCCAATGGAGCTTTTCTGGACTTTTGATGAAGGAAAAGTTCTCGGATAAAGCACTGGATCAGATTAAAGGAGCAAATGGCTCATGAGTGGCATGCGGGACACCACAAAGCCCTGTGCTTAGCGATCATCCCTGGGAACTTCACGTGAGAATTGTGGCCCCTACCTACACTGGTCAGGGAATAGTGGAGCATCTTTCTAGCCCAAGCCGTGTTTAAGAGCAGTGTGCTAGAGAAGTGCGAACGCTTTCTTTGGCCAGTGCAGACACTGTGTTTCTATGCTGTGTGTGTGCACGCGCGCGTGCATATAGAGCCAATTCCTTTGCTGACCTCTGTTATCTCTCCTGCAGACAGCTGAGCACATGGCATAACTGTGTAATATACAAGAGGGGCTGGTGAGCTGTCGTCACTTAAACGGATGAGGGATGAAGCCTCTCCTTGCATGGGAGACTTTGCTGAGGGCAAGAAAAGACCAATGACTGTACAGAAGAATCCCGAAATGGCCTTGCAGCTGGAAAGCTTTCTGCGTGATCACTAAAAGCGGCCTTGCCTGCAGTCTAGAAGAGATTCATGTACGATTCATATTGTTCCCTTTTGCTTTTTACACACACACACACACACACACACACACCCACACACACATACACCCACACACCCAGGAGGTTGTGGAGCATGTGCCGTATTGGTGGGCTTTGTTACAGATAAAACTGGGCTGCCACATAAAAAAAAAAATATTTTTTTATAATAAAATGATCCGGCAACGGTGCATAATGTCCCGTTCCTGCGCTGGGCGCATCAGTTCAGTGGGGAGGGCACGAGAGCATGTGCTGCAGAGGTAGTTAATTTCACATTGGGTTTAGTCTGTGGGCCGGCTGCATCTGCTTTGTGGGGGAGGAAGTGGTGCCCGGGCAGCATCAGCTCAGGAGCGCACAGGTGAGGAGCCGCAGCCGTGAACATGCCCCATTCAGTGTCAGATTATTACTATGACTTTCTAAAACCTGTGTCGATATTCACAGCTCTGCAGGAACTTGGGCCTTTGGCTCTTTTTGAATAATGAATCCTTTTCAGTGGCCCTAACTTCACGGAGAGCATCAGGGTGCATTCCTAGGTCCCCTTTGTGAGAGCGGGGTCCCGTTTGCCCTGGACCAGGCTAGCCAACTCCTGATTGAATCACTGTTGTGGTAGCAGCATTCCCATAAGTGTGGGATTTATTTAAAAGCTCACTTTGTGTGGTATAAATGCAAATCACTCTGAAGACATTGTAAAGGATAGACCTGTCGTAGAGAGCAGCTAGTGATGAAGGTTGTAAACACTTTGAGGAAGACGGATGTGAAAAACAGGTGGAAAAAAGGACCAAGAATCATGCCAACTCCTCAGTGGGAGCCTGCACTTTCCTATGTGACGTCAGTTCATGACCTGATCTATTCACTGATCAGACTATACAGCCACAAGAGAACAGACCAGATGCTGTGACGTCACCATGGGATATGATGGACAGCCTATATACATTTAAAAGCTTTGGAGTTCCTGAGATGCAACATCTGATGTGTAAGAATTTGACAGGGATCTTTCGAGCAGAGTTTACACAGGATACAAATAAATGTCCCAGCTAGCAGGTACATACTGCTAGTTAGCTTGTTGAAAGCTGGGGAAAGGTGTTGGGTTAAACATCTCTAGATCAGTCTTCTGTCCACAATTCAGGAGCAGAACAGGCCGCAGGGATTCACGTTTCTTCCGGGCTGTCCTATGGACGTGCCTTGGCGCTGACATGCAGCGGGGAGGAGGGGTTGCTCTCACAGCAAAGCAGTGTAAGACACCCCTGCTAGGAAAACTGAGGGAACACAGCTCTCCAGATTGTACCCTGGGGAATGTCACAGGGAGCCACCCTCAACTGGGCTGCCCTTGCTAAACAGGGGGTAGGATTATCAAATCCCACTGGAAATAAGAGGGGGTGGGAACAGGTGTTTTTATCTGGTGGCAGGGCACCATGCACTTTTTACCTGTCTTAAGGATGAGCGAGGTGGTAGAAAGGAGTGAGTGGGGAGTGGGTCCTCGGAGGGGTGGAAGAGACGAAGCCGGGGATGCCTTGGGGGAAGAGGAAGAGCGGGGGCAGGGCCTGGTGGAGGAGGGGCGGAGCTGCCAGTGGTCCACTGAGAGTTGTGGCTTTTGTTCAGCAATTCCTAGAGCTGAAATCACAGATGACCAGGCCCAGGGGCTGGGGACAACCGTCCCACACTACCCAGTGAAATCATTCAGAGCTGGGCCGGGGGACCTCCAAACACGGCAGTGGGAGTGAGTGGCAAGCAGCGACAGCGGCAGATAGACCAATGACAGCAGCCGTGGAGGCATTGTTCTTTGCTGTCCTCCCACCCCCCCCACCCCCCCCGGGGGTGGTGGGTGGACCCATGTGAACGTACCTCTGAACTCTGGATCTTCACTAACCAGGGACAGCCAGCCGTGAGCGGGGCGCAGCGGAGGGAGCAGGGAGTGGCATGTTAAAGGGATTTTGGTTCATCAGACTTTCATGACACAAAATGGGAAACTGAGGCAAAGGACACTGCCCAACACGCTGCGGGGTGGGCGTTTGCGGGGTGGGCATGTGCTTTCAACTCATGCTTGTGGAGTTTTCCCAAATTCATGCTGGGTCCCCTTTTCCCTTCTCATCAACATTTTATTTTGTGGCACTGACTCAGTGCTTGTGCGAGGGGAAGGAAGTAGGGCTTCTGAGAGGTCGTGGTGAATTTTCCCACATTACTGCGTGGGAGCTCCAGCCAGTTCTGGGTCGTATGGTTAAGAGGAACCCCTAGATATCAAACCCACCCCTGGTCGCTGCCAGCTCCATTTGGTGGAAGAGTTACATCAGGGTCATACAAAACTCAGCAAGAGCTGGTCCAGATATTTCAGTCGAAGCATTTCCCAGCTGAAATAGGGGGTTAGGCCCAAAATTGGTGAGAAAAGATCCCTTGATTTAATGGTAGGATTTTCTGACAGGAAATTTTGACTTTGTTTAGTTTCTAATTGTCAAAAACTAAAAATTAAATCAGAACGTTTTCATTTTAGGGGTTTTGTCACCCCACTTTCTCCCCTTTTTACTTTTCCACTGACAAAGGGGGAGAAAAAAAAGAAACAAACAATTTTGGGGTTTTTCTTAAAATATACTAGAGCTAGAATTTCCTGTTCATTCCTCCTTCCCTGCCCTGAGGTGCGTGCGCGCACCCCCCCCCCCCCAAGTGCCACATGTGTCTGGGTGGTGGTGGTAATTGCTCAACGGTCCTGTTGGCTGTCTCTCTGAGTGACAGATTGCGCTGTCAGAGATTTATCCACACGAATAAATCACTAAATCTCCAAAATATCGACACTGGCTGCAGTTGCCATGGGATGGAAACTGGGACTTTAGTTTCCCATGCTGGGATCCCCAGGAGCTTCTTGGGTGCGTGACACATCTTTTCTTCAAACACTGATTCCCTAGTTGCCTCTATTTTTGTAGCCAAAAGCCCCAGAAAGGGGCTCTCTAAGGTGGAGGGGAGACCCCCCAAGTTCTCTTACCCTCAGGCCTGACAGAGGCTGAGAACAAAAGAAGATGCTGACAAGAAACTGAGACCGACTTGCCCACCCCCAAACATTCCAAAATCACGAGTCAGGCTCTAGAAAATCTTGTCACCTCATCACAGGCCTCCAGGAGCTGGCGCTTTAAGAAAAACGCCAAATATCGCAGTAGTCACGATAAAAGCGTGAGAGCTGGCGACGCTGCTGAGAACTGGTGCTTTCATCTCGGGAATGGAACTGAGCCGTGTTTTCCTGCCAAAAATGGGAGGGTCTTTCCACAGATCATGGAGGCCTTTCAAGGCTCAGGCAAGGGTTTGGGCCGAGCCGAGCACTTGGGGAGCTGCAGTGACTGGGAGCATGGACAAGCCAGTGGGGATGGAGGGATCGGAGGTTAAGGGTTGGCTGAGCAGGGGGGAAGCCTGAGGCTTGTTTGGGATAGGGGTTGCAGCCTGGGGGTGCTGCTTTTGAGGTGCTGTTGTGGGTCAGATGGTTTGGACTATCTCAGGACGGTTTGGACTATCAGGGCAGAATAACTGAATAAGAAGACAGAGAGCCCCAGAGTTACTGTGTGCAGCCCTGAGAGACTTTTGGGGAAATAGCAGATGACTACCTCTCTGCTCCCCTTTGGGATTACAGATGGTGACTCACCTGTACATAGATTTTTACCTGCTTTGACCTCTCAAGAACTCTCTTCTTTTTTATAAGCTAATAAACCTTTAGTTAGATTATTACAGAATTGGCTGCCAGCTTTGTCTTTGGTCTGAGATGGAGGATGCAACTCAACGTGGGTGAGGGACTGGGCTTTTGGGCCTTGGAGTAACCTGGAATATTTGTGATTTTTGGTGTACGTGACCATTTATTACATAGTCCAGTTTGCCGGGGTCGCAAGACAGGCTGGAGTGCCAGAGGGGACTGTCTGTGACTCTGTGGTAAGACGACTGTAGTACTTTGGGAGTTCGCATTTGGCACGGGGTTGGTGAAATCTAATTACAGACCATACCACCGGGTGTGTGTGTCTGCCCTGCTTTTGACAGTCATCCCTGAGTCAGGCACTCACTGTAATGAGCTGCTCCAGACAGCATGACAAAGGCCATCTCCTCCCGCTCGCTGCCTCCCCAGGCCCAGGGGCTGAGGAAGGAAGGGGGGGGGGGAGGCTGGGTCACGCTGAGTCACACCTGGGAGGAGGGGGCTTCTCTGCCCAGGGCGGGTGGGCTGGGCAGGGCACAGGCTATGCCAGCCCCTGGAGTCCTCATCCAGCCTCACATCACCATGAGCACAGCCTCCTCCTGGCAGTGCGCCTCCTCGTGGCCTGGCTGGGAACTGGCCACTCCCTTCGCTGTTAGGGCACGGGCTAGGTCCCAGCTGTCAGAGTGGAGGCTGGGGCAGGGCCTAGTGCTACCCATGGGCAGGTGCGAGGAGACCTGGTTCCACGGGCCTTGCTCCAGGTGTGCTGGGGACGCAGCCTTGCTCCCCACTGGAGAGGAGCGGGGATGGGGTTACTGCAGCGGCTGGGAGCTCTGGGCTGCCTACGAGCCAGGGCTGTTAGGAATGAGGGCGACAAGTTACCGCTCCTCCGGGCTCAGAGGTTCCTGCTTTTATTGGTGCAAGTGAATAAATGCAAAACACACAGGAAACTCCAGGCTCAGCAAAGTGGGTTCATCGCCCAGCATGGAGGGAATGAGCCTCCCACAACCGACAGGGCCCAGTCATGGCCTCTGCCCGCAGCGCTCACCAGGGGCTGGGAGCTTCTGTACCCAGCAGCAAGCGCACTCCTGACGTGTCACCTTGGCCGACAGCTCAGCAGTGCCGGGGAACAGGTGGGGGCAGGGAGGCCGGCTGGGCCCAGCCAGAGCGAAGGTGCCGTCCCCTCCCCAGCCATGGCGCCTGTTTAGCCTTTCTGGATTCCACATCTGAAAGGCTTGAGGAAGCCTCTGAGTCTGGTGCTGCCTGGCAACCCTGGCTTGCGCTTCCTTCTGCGGCCGTGCGGCCCGTCTCACTGAAACACAGACGGGCGAGACACAGCGCTGGGGGCCGGAGGAGCTGGAGGCACCAGCCCACTCCATGGCTGCCCCCTCCAGGCTCACACTGGGGAGGCCCTGGGTGTGGGTCCCTGCCCGCCCAGGCTGGGAGGCAGCGAGTCTGAGAGAAGCCCAGGGACGGTCAGTGTCCAGCAGCCTCAGCCCAGAATCCCCTTTGCATTGGTCCCAGCCGAGTCCCGTCCCCTCCCCACCAGACTCGTCAGCCCTCAGGGGGCCGCCCCCACTGATCTGCTGTGCCCAGGCCCTGTCTGTATTGCAGTGGGGCGTCCAAAGTGGGCCCTGCTCTGCCTGGCTCAGCCATGGGCCCTGCTCGGCCTCTGTCCCCTGCAGGCGTGAGGGGCCCTGGGCACTGGGCGTTGTCTGGGCTCCCAGCATGTAGGAGCCTGGAGGGCAAAGCAGGAACCTCCCAGCCAGGGCTGGGCAAGAGAGACATGAGCAGGAGCCGCCCCAGCTCCCTGCAGGGAGCGTGACGGAGGCGTTACATTGCCACGGCAAACTCTCGTTGGCCGAGCAGGCGGGGAGGCGAGCTGGGTGCTGATGCTCCACAGGGACCGAGAGCGAATTACCCCTGTGGTGGGGTGACGCTCACCGCACGTCCAGCAGGGGGCGCTCTGCAGCCAGGACATCTCACACTCCCCCTGGCTTTTCCGGGCAGGCTTCTCCCCATGTTCTCCCTCTGTCATCCCTTTGCCCCCTGCCCCCTAACGCTCAGCCCTGAATCGGAGCCAGGCCATGGGGCCCGGCTCGCATTTCCTGCTCTGAAAGGAGCCCCTTTGCCCAGAGCTGAGGAGGAGCTGGTGGACGATCCACCAGCTCAGCCCTCCCCAGCTACAGCTGCCCCCTTCCAGGGAGAGGGCGGGGGGAGGCTGGGTGCAGGGGCCGGGTCTGCCCCATACAGAAGGTTCGGCTGGTCAGGGCAGGGGTCAGTGAGAATCTCCCATGGGGCAGGGTCATTTCTGGGGAGCTCATGGATCCCCTAGGTTGGGAGATGCAATTCCCACAGTGGGGACGGGGGCAGGGAGGGTCCCTGGCTCCACACGGCACATCCTGCCAGAGCGACCCGGTATCTGATACCATCCCACCCCCCAGGGATCCCCAGGAAGGGGAACGAGGCAAAGAGCCTCCCTGCAGGGACGTGCTCAGGGCCCCGGGTGCAGGACTCACCAGCGGCTGCTGTTGGGCTCCGTCCACCTGGGCTGACGCCCCATCACGTGCTGCCACCGCGCCGGGACCCTCCACGCCCAGCGGCTGCTGCAGGACGGGCCCAGCCAGGGCAGCCCCGGCCAGCGCCAGAACCAGCCACAGACGCCTCATCGTCCCCTCGGGCTGCGTCTCCTCACGGGACTGTCGAGCTCTGCTACCAATTCCCCTGGGAGAGGGGCCTCGGCCTCGTGTCGCCCTCGGCCTCTTGTGTGCATGAGAGGATTTTAACCAGCTCGTCTCTCCTCAGAAACTCCTCCCTGCCCCAGGGAAACAGAAAGGGCCTTAGTGCCATATGCTGAAATCCCTTCTGGGTTTGCTCATCCCACAGAAGCCTGAAGCAAGTCAGTTACCAGCACTGACCCTGGCCTCTGCCCAGAACAGCCCTTTGTGGGGTTTTTGTATGGCACAAGTGGGGAATGAAGGATAGCGGGACAGGAAACGTTCACAAGCTGTTACACTGGATCCTGCCTTTCCAACTGGCTTGTGTCTGACCCTACACCCACCCAGCACCTCTGCTCTGAGATCTTCCCTTTTTGTCCACTGAAAGGCATCAGAGTGGGCAGTCAAAACACTCGGGGCAACCATTAAGATGTAGCTTGAGAATGGGACACGGGCCTTTTATATCCACGCCACAGGCCCAAGTATGGTCAAGCTCAAGTGACCAGAAGTTACCAGTGGATGGATAACTGAGGTAGCCTAAGCGAAGTAAGTTGGGGGGCCCAGTAGAGTTTCCCCAAGAACAGATGGCCACATCCCAATGACACTGTTGGTAATTCTGTTTGGCAGGTGTCACCAGGTGGTGCTGTCACATAGTATTCTAAGATTCCTTTCTTGGTGTGTGAGCAAGTTTTCAGCCTTGGGAAGACATACTGTGTGTGAATTTTGTGTTATGTTAGGTTGTGGTGTAAAAGGGAGCTGTGAGAGCCACAGGAGAGTTTGCTCTCTGCCTTGGACTCTGATTAGAATCAATTCTGGAGATAGAGTGGCTATCTGGCCATCTCCATTCCAGGATTGGGGGTGTGTGTGTGTGTGTAAATAAAGCAAGTTACACTTAGAATATACCTCGATTGTCTGATTTCTCCTTCACTGGGAAGCCAACCTGCAAAGCCCCACACAGCTGCTATTGCTCAGCTAAGGTGTTAGAAGAAGGGGCAAAAGTACTTCGAGATCCTTGGATCAAAGGCCCCAAGAAGCGCCTCAGTGTTTTACAAACATCAACCATGTAGGTAGCTAGAGCGTAGTTACCAGTTTGGGAAGTTAGCCAGGATTTTGGATTCACGCATCTTTTGTACAGCGTCATGGGTATTTTAGCGGCCCCAAGTGGTCAAGAACTTGGTTTTAATCCTCATTGGAAAGGCAGCGACTCCACCAGCCTCTCACCACCAAGTGTGGCATTTCCACAACTGACGAGAGAAGGAGCCCCACGGACTGAACCAGAACCGATTTCATGTTCCGTGGAGGTTTGCCATCCGAGCCAACGCTGGTTAGCTTGTGAACGGAGACAGGACCACAGCACAAAGTTCTGTGACTGGGCTCAGAGTAATCAGGGATGAATGCTGAGCCTCTTGCCAGTAAAGGTGGCCTGCTCACACTCAGCCTGCAAATCACCCCCCCAGCGAGGCTGCGAGAATTAGGATCGTCGCCCATCTGGGTTTTACCCGCACAGTCCTGTTTTTGGCTTCTGTATCTGGGTGTCATTTAGGGTTGACAAGTTTTCAACTGGAAAATCCAGTAGAAAAGGGGACCTGACCACCCTAAATGACACCTGAACCAAAAGCCCAGTTACCGTGGAGCGGGGCAGGTGCCTAGCCATTAACCCGTGCCAGCCCCTGCTCAGCTGGGGCCACCTCCTACCAACAGGCAGGCTCCTTGGAACGATCCAGCGAGCAATTGGGTGTTGGGGGCAGGGGGCGGGGGGGGGGGAGAAGTGAGGTGGGTGGGACCTCGAGGGGCAAGGAGGAGCCACAGCGACCAGTGCTGGAAGTTTAAGAGATTAACTTTTGGAGTCTCAATCAAGCTAGTCAAAAGAAAGAGTCTTCTTGTCTCACCAAGTGGGTCAGCTGTTGCTCATCTTCTGGGACCATCATCTCCTCGAAGTGCACAGGGGACAGGTGGTGTGAAAATAATCAGTGACCACGGGGCGGAGAGAGACCTGGTGGACCCTCTTTGGAAAACAGGTATTGTTAACGCAGCAGAAGCTGGAGCTTGATGCAATGTAGCCGGGGAACGGATTCAAAGAGGGGGAGTAAAGCCGTTGGACCAAGGCAAAGTCCTTAGTAGCTGAGTGCTGTGTGGTTTAGAGGGGAGCAGCCTGGGTGTTGTGATTTGGATCTGATGCAGTGTGTATGTGTAACCCCTGTCTGCTCGGTGTGGCGTTCTGTCCCCCTCTAGTGGCAGCTAGACCAGCTAGAGAGGCTCATGCATTAAGGTCCCGCGGTCATAGAATCATAGACTATCAGGGTTGGAAGGGACCTCAGGAGGTCATCTAGTCCAACCCCCTGCTCAAAGCAGGACCAATCCCCAATTTTTGCCCTAGATCCCTAAATGGCCCCCTCAAGGATTGAACTCACAACCCTGGGTTTAGCAGGCCAATGCTCAAACCACTGAGCTATCCCTCCCCCCTCAGGTCTCAGGTTTGCTCCCAGCCGCTGCCACCTGGGGTCTGTCGGCGGTTGGGGGAAGAAGGCGACTCACAGTCCTGGGCATCCTGAGAAACCATCACACTCCTTAAGACTCTCACCATGAAGAGTTTAACATCCTGTTGAATGGGGAGGGTCCAGGTTGTATTTCTATCTTAAACTCGATTTAAATCCACAGATGATGTGCTTGAGAAAAGGAGATGGTAAAATGCAGAATGGCGGAGACCCTTGGGAGGAAGCGGATGTGTTTGCATTATCTATGGCAAGGGGCTTTGTCACTATATGTATTGTGTTTGGAGAATTTCATATACAGTGATGGAGCAGAGAAGACACCAACCAGTGGATATATGGATGCGTTTCAAGCACTATTTCTCACAACTTGGCACTGGACCCCTCTCTGGACAGATACCGGTCTGTTGTGAGTGGACCCAACTGCTGGATCCCACAAGCTTCTGAGCCCCTGGGCTCTGACTATTCCCTGTTCCTAGCTCTGGACCTCTCGGGCACACTCCCAGGTGCAGACCCTCTGTCTGTCTGTCTCACCCTTTCTGGGCCATGGGACCATGCAGTCTGGCCATCTTAGACCCCCAAACCAGTGACCCAGTCCTTCCAAGCCCACTGTTGCTATGATACTTTCCCTCAGAGTTCCACCTTGCTGTGGGGGCTCTGAGCTTTAAGATCAACCCCTTCAGGGATGACATGGTGGGCCAGCAAGGAATACAGGCTTAGCAAAGAAATTCCTTAATACTGACCCTTTACTCTTAGCAAAGCACACTGAAGAGTTACAGATATTTGGCAACCAACAAAACCCTGAACGCAGTCCCTCTATGTCTGAACTCTCCCCTCCAATGAGTCCTGGGTTTGGTCAATGTCTTTAAGCTAGGCAGCCAAAACTTCATGCCTTCCTTAGCCTGGTCTTCTTGCACGTCTGATCACCATATTTGCGGTCAGGAAGGAATTTTCCCCCAGGTCAGATTGGCAGAGAGTCTCTGGGGGGTTTTCGCCTTCCTCTGCAGCATGGGACAAAGGTCACTTGCAGGTTTAAACTAGTGTAAATGGTGAATTCTCTGGAACTTGAAGTCTTTAAACTATGATTTGAGGACTTTGATAACTCAACCCAAAGTTAGGGGTCTATTACAGGAGCGGGTGGGTGAGGTCGTCTGGCCTGCAGTGTGCAGGAGGTCAGACTAGATGATCACAATGGTCCCTTCTGACCTCAGAGTCTGAGTCTATGTTGTGGTGCTCTTGGTACAGAGAAACATCTTCCTTTTAAAGCAGCCTCTGTCCCCCTTTTGCCCACGTGCTTCAGCTGGGGGCGTTCCTGTCTCCAGCCCCTGTCAGTGTCCTTGTAGAGAGACATTAAAGTCAATGGCGTCCACTGGTAGAAAACCCATTTTCCAAGGAGGGGGAGCGTCATTCAGTGATGATGGCCCTTGAGGGCTCTGTCATCACTTTCCAGACACAGATAGTCTTGCCACTAGGTATCAAGACCTGCCACAAAATGGAGGCTGTAGACCACAAAGGAGGGTTCAATCCAGGATGAAGGTCACATTCTAACACAGACATACCTCCCAGTCTGTCACCCTGTTCATTCCCTGCAGCTTGCTCATTGTCAGGTGGGTTCTTCAAGTGTTGAGCGTTTTTTAAAAAGTAATTTTTGATTAGTTGTAACTTTAGTTTGCTTGGAGGACAGCTGCCTGGCAATTCCCCCCAGTAATGGCCATGGGGGTAACCATCTGGTTACAGAAAACTCTTGTGCTTGTGAAGTCTGCCTGGGATTTCCCTGTTGTTTTCAGAGTTTCATGGAGAGGAATCTTGACGCTCCCCCAATGAATTGGTTCGAACACCGAAATTTCTAAAGGGTTCCTCTGGTGTGAAGTTGATTGCTATCAAGAATGTCATAAATATGATGTTTTCTATTCTACGTCCAGGGTGTAAAACTGTTATTTTCAATGTGGATTTCCCATAAGCGCTTGCTAGATAATCCGCTAAGTTTTATCTCTCTGGGGGACTGGTAGAGAGATGCCTGCATGTCAGCGGCTGGCACAAATGGGGTGCTCTGTTTCTGAAGCCAGCAAAGGGCTTCCTCCATCCTTACTGCTTCATTGCCCTGACTATAAGTTAATTACATTGTTATATGCCTTAAGCATTGGAGACTCCCTGTCCTGAGTGCGCTAAACAGAATTAAATCTGTGCGCAACAGAGGGAAGGACTGCGAGCCCTCTCCTATCCAGCTGAAAACAATTACTGCCTTTGTTTTCTTTTGTGTGTCCGCTCCAAAGCAAGACAACCAAAGACACCAGGAGCTCTGATTCCATCCAGGAGAGAGCAGTGGCGCACGTTACTTGCTATTTTAGCACAACTTCTGCCAGTGAGGGAGCGGGTGCATCAGCAAATGATTTCCCGATCAGTTCGCATCGGAGTAGCTGTGCTCATAACGTCCCTGCTATGACCGAGTATGATGCAGGAATCAGATGTTTGCAGAGGCCTGAGCAGACTCTGCAAGAAATAACAAAGTCAGTGACTTCTCGCCAACCTTCTCATCTGCCTCCCAGATGCTTGCTAAACATTACACAGCCCCCCAGTAGATAATCTCCCAGACATCACGGCTTGGGGGGTCTTTGTTCTTGATCTGTTTGTTCTTAGCATTGCACAATGTACACTGTGTGGGCTGGGGTGTGGGGAAATGATTGGTCAGATGGAGACTCTCTGGGATGGAGCCAAAGAAGGTCTTTGTGTAAAGAAACCCTTTCAATTGGATCATCTGTTCAAACAACCCTTCTTCCCAGTTACAGCCAGCAGAAGAGACTCTTGTGATTCCTCCCAGACCAACTGAGATTGTGAGCAGAGAGTTGGTGCATTCCCCAGGGGGAGACTGAGACCATGATGAGAAGCCTGCTGCTTCTAATGGCTTTTGCGGTGCTTGCTGCAGCCACCATGGCTAGGCCCACCAGGCAGGAGTTGCTGGCTGTGGAAGATCTGGGCGCAGTAGGACCACATGCCAGAACAATAACCCAGGAGAATGGATTCCAGACACAGCTGAAGGTATGTTTTGCAGGAGGGATAAGGAATGGAGGGGAAGTTGTTTGCATTGTGTCTGTCCTTTCTGGGGTCTGCTGGGAGATGTGGGCGGGGGGACATTCAGGATGAGATCCACTGTGTAATCTCGCTGATGAAAAGTTGAGCTTGGAGAAGAAAGTGGAGTGGGTCATTCCCCTTCTCCTGTCTTTGCTGTGGGGTTGTGTGGACTAAGCATGGGGCTGGGAGCCAGGAATTATATTCCTGGCTCTGCCAGTGTCTTGTTGTGTGATCTTGAGCACATCACTTTGCCTCTCTTTGCCTCAGTTTCCCTATCTACAAAACAGGGACAATGACTGGGACTTGCCTGAGGGTGGTCAGGCGGCTACATCACTCCTGTTTCTGTGAAGGGCTATTGTGAAATGCTAACGAAGCTTTGCTGGCAAAATACCGTTCACTAAAAGGCTTTTCCCCCAGGATCTCTGGTGGAGTGAGAATTCCCGTGCGGCTCACGAGAGCACAGAACACCCATCAGATCACTGTATCTGCAGAGGGGCGGATCACTTGGGAAGCGAATGCAGGGATCATGCAGGGCTTCAGGCAGAGGGGAGGTGGGACTCACTCTGGATAAAAGTTGTGATCTGCTGCTGCCAGACACGCTCCCCTATTCCCAGACTAACATCTCCAGACTTCCCAGCATCCAAACTCTCTGCCCGGTGCATCTTGCTCCTGGTGTCACACTGACCTACAGGTAACCTGAACAGACAGGCTTCTTCTCCCCTGGGGGCAGCACCAAAGAATAATCACGCCTGTGGCATCTCTGTGAGAGCATTGTCCGGTGACTTCAGTGGAGGCTGGCCTGGCCTGCTCCAAAGCTGAATTGTGTCCAGCGTATAGGCATTGTGTTCCTATTCATAGGCCGTGCCTGGTGATTAAAGGCAAGGGGAGAAGGAGTTTGGTGTCATCGGTTCTGTTCCTGCCTCTGCCTTGCTGTGTTACCTTAGACTGGTTAACCTCTCTGTGCCTGTTTGCAGTTGGGCGAAGTGGGGAAATACCGCTTGTCTATCCCAGAGGGGTGTTTTGAAGCTTAATTCATTCATGTTGGATGGTCTAGATAATAGATAGACCAGCCATGAGTGCAGGAGACTGGACTAGATGACCTCTTGAGGTCCCTTCCAGTCCTCTGATTCTGTTTGTAAAGCGCTTTGAGATCCCTGGTTATAAGGCACTAGATAATGCAGGGGCAGGGGATTACATGATAACAGTCTGTACAGTGGCTCTAGACCCATTAAAGGCCACACACCACACCATAAACGAATACAGTCTCCTTCTTGGTCTTTGCTAGGACACTTTACAGTTGAGCCCAGCCACGTAGGGGAAAGAATGAGGCAGGTAAAGCCAGGTAAAGCTGAAGATGCAAACGGGAACATCTCAGCCCTCTAGTCAGCTGGCTTCGGTCTATCTCCAGTGCAAACATTTAACTCTTAGCTGGTAGCCCATTAATCCATTAAGGGTCAAGCAACTTGCACTATATTTCTAATGTCAAGCATAATTTATCCTATGCTGAGATTTACAAATATTAAGTAAGCCTGTGAAATAGGTTAGTGCCATCTCTGTTTTACAGATAGGGAAACAGAGGCACGGAGGACTTAAGTGACTTGCCCAAGGTCACTGAACAAATCCGTGTCCTGGGCTTAGAACTGGTTCACCGCGTTGAGCTCAATCCATGACACCGGGCTGGCCCGCAAATTAGAAATCTACTAAAAGCCTAACAGAGGATGGAAGAGGCCTGGGCGAGGGGCCTGAGCTATGGCCTAGGAGCCAGGAGTTCTAATACCACCCTCCATCACTGGCTCCCTCTGGGGCCTGCTAATTTAGGATGCCTCAATTTTGTGTGTGTCTTTCAGACACCTCGGGCCAGTTTTTAATGGTAGTTAGGTGCCTAAAGATGTACCTAGGGCCTGACTCCCACTCGGTGTCTATCTGCATCATTCAGTGCCTAAATACCTTTACAAATCTGGCCCCTGCAGCTTGATTTTCTGAAGCACTGAATACCCATAACTCCAGCTGACCTCCCCCAGAGCTGTGGGCGATTAGTCCAGCCGACCATCAAGCCATAGGGGTCTGCAATTTGGGGTGCCCAATTTTTGACCAGTTTTGAAAACTTGGGCTTTAACCGCTGTCTCTTGGGCGCAGCGATCCCTGCCTCAGAGGTGCTATCAGCATTGATTATGTAGGTCCCAATCCTGCCGCCCTCTCTTACGTGAATTCAGTGGTCTACTTCACTGAATCACGGTGGCAGAATCAGGCCCTTCATGTTTATCAAGTGCTGTGAAGATGTAGAAGTGATTTTTATTTAGTTAAGATTAAAGTAGAACAGATCACGTTACAACAGGGCCCTCATTATTGTCGCAGGCTGGCTGGCCCCGTCAACGAAGCGAGTCCAGTGGACTTGTGCCAGAACACATGCACGCACTTTGGCCAATTAAGAGGGCAGGTCAGCACCTGGGGCTGTAAAGGATGAAGGAGAAGGTGAGGGGGAAGAGACCTGGTGAATCAGGACTGCCTGAGAGCACTGGCTGGAGGATTAAGGAAAGGGGCAGGGGAGAGACAGAGTCTACAGAAAGTGGGAAGCTCTGTAGGCCCATCCTGGAAAGAGAGATGAATTGGCTAGGAGGCCAGGCAGAGGGGCTAGTCAGCAAACTAGAGCTAGAGAACCAGTGCTGGGAGGGTGAAAGGGGTTGAGTGGTTGGATTGTGTTTGAGCAGAGAAAAGGAACTGAGGACTGAGTGCTGGTGGATCACGGGTGAGGAGCTTGGAAAATTGTCATGTGTTTCACTGTGGCAATGGGCAGGGGGGGCGGGGAACCAGGTCGGTGTGCCTGTCATGCTGGGGGGCCTGCTGCAGTTTGATGACAATTACATTGAACTGGGACCCTCCCTTTCTCCCTCTTCACATCTGAGGCAAGGGGGAGAGAGGAAACAAAATCTAGTGAGATGTAGAAGTAGGAGAAGTTGTACAGCCCTGCATTTCCTGTGCCCTAAACTCAGGCAATCTGCTGCCATTGCTGAGGTCTGGACTTAAAAACGGTACCTTGTGGCATCCCTTGCTCTGCTCCCGTGAGATAAGGACCATGTCCCCAGGAGTGACGTGATGGCTGATTAAGCAGGGCAGCCACTCTCCTGACCTGCTTAACAAACACTCTGTTCATTACAAGAACCCCCCTGAAAGAACTAATTTAGAGTCCCTTCCTGGTACCTTCAAGCAGCCCCAGAACAACCCCGCTCTCTTTCCCAGCACTCCTTGCCCCTCTGCTGGAATTTGAATGAACGCTCCTAGCGATCAAAAGGCCCCTGCAGGATCCTCACTTGTTACGTCACTGCCTCATGACCAACCCCAGGTTTTACTTCACATAACCCCCATTGGACACACTAACAATCTCCACAAGAAGTTTGAAAATGAAGGAACCTCCCTGCATAAAAACACAATTCAGAGCCGGTGGGTTTTGTATAGTTGTCTCTCCTCAAATTAACCTTTTGGTTCCTTATCTCCTGCCAGTGGTGCTGAGGAACTGAAGATGGGGTCTAGTCATTCTTTGCTCCAACATCTCCCCCTCACGTCTACCTCTGGCTCTCCCTGTGTGTCTACAAGAGACCTGACCCCTCTCTTTGCTCCTTTGCTCTCCTCAAAACACCCAGGTGATGGGAGTGTGGGACACTGGAGAGAAGGGGAGGGGAACCACCTCTCTACAGCCGTTCAGGACAAAAAGTGAAGAACGGTGGATCTGAAGAATGCGGGACTTTTGGAAGGCATAACTGTGACAAGCCCTGGGAAGGCTGCCCCCGCTGAGACCCTTTTCCAGTCCCCTGAGTGCACCCCTGCCTCTGTTTCTTTTTTAGGGTTAAAATCTTGCCATCCAGACACTTTCTGACTGGCTCTCTGGGTTACACCTCTCAGGCTGTCAGCAGTTTACCTCTGCCCGTCCCAGCCCCCTCATGCATCCTGTCTGCCTTCGGGGGCCTGGCCAGTCCTCGGAGTCAGTGACACACGAGCAGCATCTCCAGAACAAAGGATGACGTACTTGGCCTCAAAGGCTTAGTGAAGTGGATGTAAAATAACAAAGCCACCTACACAAAGGTTGCCTTAGCCACGCTTGGCATTCCCCTTGAGCCCCGTAGCCTTGGTGTCCCCTTTCTCCCGGGGGACCCCAGTTACGGCTTGCTTGCTACAGACCCTGACTCCCAGTCAGCCTGTCTGTCAGTCTCAGAGGTGTGTTGACCATTCTGCCCCCACTCTCGCTCTGGAGGGCAGGTCTTTTAACCGGTCACTGTCTTTTGATCTCTCCTCAGCCAAACAGCCCTGGCGCCAGGCTTGGGGCTGAGGATTCCCTCTTCAAACATCATGGCCAGGTTTATAGCCCTGAAGGGATGCTCCTTACCTAGGCCACTGTTCTGCTTTTCCTGACTAGTTTCTTGAACAACTACTTTTGATCTAACTATGTGTATCCAGGCAGGGACGTATCACATAGATGCACTGAGGGCCTATGATAGTCATCAAAATATGAATATTTCCCAGGTCGCCACAATAACCTCTCTGGTCACTTGGTCAGGACACCAGGGATAACAGATGAGCTATGCCATGGGGTATTTAATGACCACCGGTGGTCAGGCCCTCACTTCTATTCTGCTGAAACATGGCACCTTTAACAGCCACTATCCCTAAAACTACAGTGGGGCATTGGGTCAGGGCTGACCCAGAGGGAAGAATGCCCGATGTTGAATCATCAACGGTACACCACTTCCTGTTGGGCTTTGAAGGCTCCCACCCATGTTCTGACCTAGCCTGTTCCTGCTTAGGTGGGAGATCTGTTAAGTTTTATATTAAAACCCAACCCAACCCTGTAGATCAGAGGTTCTCAACCAGGGGTCTGGCTGTGAGTAGGTTTCAGGGGGGGTCTCCAAAATAAACCAGAGAGCAAAGCCAGCGTTAGACTTGCAGGAAACCAGGGCAGAAAGCCCAAGCCCAAGCCCTGCCATGCGAGGCTGAAGCCGAAGGCTGGGCAACTTAGGTCCCCTGTGGCCCCTGCCCTGCTTGCTACCCCCTCACGCTGGCCCCGGCTTATAATCTACTGGATATGTAGAAAACCAGTTGTTGAGGCACAGGTGGGCTGTGGAGTTTTTATAGCATGGGGGCGGGGGGGGGGGGGGCGCTCAGAAAGAAAGAGGTTGAGAACCCCTGCTGTTGATTGCACAAAGCTACCCACTGCTCTGCGGATCCCGATGGCTCAGTTTGGCCCTCCTGCTGCATAGCAATAAAACTGCCTGGAGCAAACCCAAATTCAGACCCGGGCTCTCACTGATCCAGTTCTTTCCCTTGTCTCTAAATCTCCTGTTTGTCTATTTTAGGGAGGAAGAGTGCGGAGGTCTGGGAAGGGGAAAAAGAAGGGAAGGTGGAACGCAGGCTCTCTCGCTACTCTCGGAGCAGCCGTACCCAAAGGCTGGAGAGGACGAGGCAGCATCTCGGCCAAGGAGTAGGTGGCCATCCTGCTAGCCACGTTCGCTTGGTCTTGAAAGCTCTTGCGGGTGATGGGAGGGAGTCAGGGAAGAGCCCCTCCTACTCCAGCTGCCCCAGGCGTTAGTGGAAGGCATGCTTTATGATGGCTACGTGAGGATGAGGTTGTCTGTTCCTCCTAGATGCTGCTGGGCTCAGGCCATGACTAGCCTCAGTGCTGCCTGGGACATGGAAAAATAGTCATCTTTTTTCTGTAACGGAATAAAACCAGCCTGTGAAATCTATAGTGGCCTGTGTCTTGTGCATTTATCCCCCGGCGTCCGCGTGCACTAGTGTCGGAGAGGAATACTCTGTGGGTTATATTGCAGCCGCGCCTGGAGGTGTTGGACAGGAGCGGGGCCCGGCGTGTTTGGGTGCGTACGCGTAGTAAGAGACCTCTCCTGTCCAAAAGAGCTTTCAACCCACGGGTACGTCCACAGTGCAGCTGGAGACACGACTGCGGCACGGGCAGGCGCAGACAGGCCCTCTGACGGGGCGGGAAATTGCCCAGGGGCCCGGGTGATTTTAAAAGGGCCCGGGGCCCCCAGCCACCGTCGCTGCCACAGCCAGGAGCTCTGGGCCCTTTTAAATCTCCCTTTAAATCACCCTGGGCCCTTTTAAACTGTAGGGCTCCTAGGCGTGTGCAGGCTGGTACCACCGGCGGTGGCCATCCCTCTCCAGGGGGCCCATTGACTGTTCCGCCCTGGGGCCCGGAACTGCTGTCGGCGGGCCTGGGTGTAGCTCTTGCTAGCTTTTCTCGAGCTAGCATGGCCCATAGAAGCAGGGAAGATGTGGTGACCAGTGGGCTGCACAAACCTGCCCGGGACCCTGGCTACGCACTCGTGTTGCTCACCGGGGCTGAGACCTGTGCGGCTGAGTCATCACCGCTGATTTTAGCCTTGCTCGTGGGAGTAAAGCCGGTGCAGGCACGGCAGCCTGTGCCGCAGTCAGCCCTTCGGTGGCAGGCTAGACCTACCCTAAAAGAGAAGAGGTGGCGGGCCCGGGAGACCAAGGGAGTCGGTAGGGTGGGCTAGAACAGCAGAGCTTCCTTGGCTGCTGTGGTCAATATGCCGCCATGAGGAGTGTGAAGTCTGTAAGGCCTATTTCCATGACTTCCCGTGGCAGCCAAGTGGTTTGGGAGCTGATCCCGCAAGGAGCGGAGCACCACGCCCGCCCTCACCGTAGAGCCTGGAGGGACAGCTACATGTAACTTGGAGTCAAACCTCGGAGGCTCTGAGTACCTAAAGCCTGGTCTGCGCACAGGTTTTGTACCGGGAGAACTGTCGGTTGAGATGTGCTGTGTGGCTTGGTGATTTTTTAAGCCAATCAGGCTATACCGGTACATCTGTAGCGTGGACACAGTTGTAATGGTGCCTTACCCGGAAATTGCTTATTCTCCTTCTTGTATGGGAGCAGCTGTGCCAGGGTAAAGCACCGGAGGGAGGCACCAGTACAGTTAAAGCAGTACAACTCCGGTGCGTAGCAAAACGCTGATTTTTAAAAATCCAGACGGAACCACTAGGTGTCACTAATACACTATTTTATAATCCAGCCTGGATGCTGGCTCTGAAGCAACCTAAGCGGTCATGGGCTAAGAGGGAAGGTCCTATGGTGGATCAGTAACTGGTTACAAGACAGGAAACAAAGGGTAGGAATAATGGGTCAGCTCTCAGAAGAGAGAGAGGCAAATAGTGGTGTCCCTCAGGGGTCTGTACTGGGGACCAGTCCTATTTAACATATTCATGAATGGTCTGGAGAACGGGGTAAACTGTGAGGAGGCAAAATTTGCAGACGATACAAAATTACTCAAGATAGTTAAGTCCAAAGCTGACTGTGAAGAATGACAAAGGGATCTCACAAAACTGGGTGACTAAGAGGAAACAAAATGGCAGATGAAATGCAAAGTCATGGACACTGGAAAACATAATCCCAACTATACATATCAAATGAGGGGGTCTAAATTAGCTGTTACCACTCAAGAGAGAGATCTCGGCGTCGCTGTGGGCAGTTCTCTGAAAACATCCTCTCAATGAGCAGCGGCCGTCAAAAAAGCAAATAGAATGTTGGGAATCATTAGGAAAGCGATCGATAATAAAACATAAAATATCATGTTGCCTCTATATAAATCCAGGGTACGCCCACAGCTTGAATACTGACTGCGTGCAGATGCGGTCACCCCATCTCAAAAAAGATATATTCGAATTGGAAAAGGTTCAGAAAAGGGCAACAAAAATGATTAGGGGTATGGAACGGCTTCTGTGTGAGGAGAAATTAAAAAGAGTGGGACTTTTCAGTGTGTAAAAAAGACAACTAAGAGGGGATATGACAGAGGTCTATAAAATCGTGACTGGTGAGGAGAAAGTGACTAGGGAAGTGTTATTTACTCCTTCACGTAACACAAGAACTAGAGGTCACCCGATGAAATTAATAGGTCTCAGGTTTAAAACAAACAAGTCATACTCTGCACAGTCAACCTGTGGAACTGTTGCCAGGGGATGTTGTGAAGGCCAAAACTATGACGGGTTTAAAAAACAACTGTATAAATTCATGGAGGAGAGGTCCATCAATGGCTATTAGCCAGGATGGTCAGGGATACAACCCCATGCTCTGAGTATCGCTAGCTTCTGTTTGCCAAAAGCTGGAAATGGGAGACAGGAGATGGATCACTCGATGATTGCCTGTTCATTTTCTCTGGGGCACCGGGCACTGGTCACTGTCGGAAGACAGGATCCTGGGCTAGATGGACCTTTGGTCTGACCCAGTGTGGCCGTTCTTATGTTACCTAGCATCTTCAAATGCTGAGAAGAGGGTCTGGAACATTACCATGTATTCACTTTAAACTTATACGTGTGATTAAGTAGAATATCCTGGAGATGTCGCCAGTTCTGTATGCAGAAGACTGAATTCTGAAGAGGGGCAGCTGGGGAGAATTTGGAATCTTTTCCCCTGGCTGTCATATCATTATCCATATTGACATGCTCCAATAAATCTATTTACTCACTCTAGGTGTGCAGTTAAACCAGCTTCCTCTTCTGTCCAGGGCTGACCTTCAGGCGGTAGACGGACACTTTCACAAGCTGATAACCTCAGGATTTTAAATGCACGGAAGTGTTATAAAATATAAATAAATTCATACCTCTGCTCTGAGATTCCAAATTCACATGCAGTAGGCTAAATTCACTGCTTTTTCACTGGTGCAATCCCATTGAGGTCAAAGGGTTTGCCATTGTCTAAATGAGAGACGAATATGGTTCATTGACTTAAAAAGGTTAGATTAATATACTGAAATTCCAATCTGCTCTAAAAAGTGTCTGAATAGCTAGCCCCTTTGTATTCTGCACATCTGTTCCCACCATGTATTTACAGTCATAAATGCATTACCATAATGACAAAAATAATTTTTTTTATTTTTGTTTTTTTAAATTTCTTACTCCTATTCAATTTATAGAGCTCTGAGCGGAGGAGCTGGATTCTCCTCTGACTCATACAGCATCAGCAGACTAGTTAATTAAGTTATGAATTCAGGGTTTGTCTTGGATGCAAATTCATCCTCTTTAATGGCATTGCCCAATTGTCACCCAGGGTTTAATTTGCACTGCAAAATCTTCATTACTGGTGATGATTCTGAGTCACTCAAGGACTGGCAGGTGTAGGTTCTAGACCTTGTCAATTAGGGGCATGGAAAAACTCTCTTGTGCAGAGATTGAGGATTGTTATTTTAGAAAAGAAATGACGAAGGTAAGATGTGATAAGAATATATAAAATAATAGTCAAGAGACGGTAAATCTGGAGTTTCTGTTCTCCCTCCCTAAGAACAAAGGACAGTCAATCAAATTAATAAGTGGCAGAATCAGAACAAGAAAATATCCTTTCATACAACATGTGATTGGAGTGTGGCACTCATGACCACACTATGTCATTGAGACCAACAATGTAGCAAGATTCTACAATGGGTTTAAGAATAGCCCAAGTTGTTATAAATAATGATGATAAAAATTTTGGAAGGGCTATTAAACCTTGTGCTTCAGCTCTAACTATCAGCAACCAGGAGGAGACATAATATGGGGAGCAGATTATTCTACATCTGCTTTTCTTGATGTTTCTACACTGTCAGGCTTTCATGCGCAGTGGCCATTCAAGAACCTTTTGCCTCTTTAAGGGCTTGTCTGCAGGGGAAGTTTGCCTGTGTAGTTATACCCATGTAACTCCCATGTGAATACTCTTATTCTGGAATAAGCATGGCCTTTTTTGGCTTCGTTTAAACCACTTTCATAGTGAAATAAGCTAGCCTGGAATAAAGGCTGTTTAATACCAGAACAATCACTTGGGGTTCATAGAATATCAGGGTTGGAAGGGACCACAGGAGGTCATCTAGTCCAACCCCCTGCTCAAAGCAGGACCAATCCCCAATTTTGCCCCAGAACCCCCTAAATGGCCCCCTCAAGGATTGAACTCACAACCTTGGGTTTAGCAGGCCAATGCTCAAACCACTGAGCTATCCCTCCCTCCAATATATATATTGGTTATATTTGTCTGATTCAGAGATTCCAAGGCCAGAAGGGACCACTGTGATCATCTAGTCGACCTCATGTGTAACCCAGGCCAGAGAACTTCCCCCAAATAATTCCTAGAGCAGATCTTTTAGAAAACAGCTAATCTTGATTTAAAAATTGTCAGGAATGGAGAATCCACCATGAGCCTTGCTAAGTTGCCCAGTGGTTAATTACTCTGTTAAAAATGAATGCCTATAACTATAGAGGTATTGTCATAAACATACAGCTAAGGGTAGCATAAAATCCCTCCTTTACCTGTAAGGGATTCAGAAGCTCAAATAACCTGGTTGGCACCTGACCAAAAGGACCAATAAGGGAAGAAGATCCTTTCAAATCTGTGGGGGGAGGTTTTTGTTTGTGCTCTCTTTGTTGTTCTCTATCGGACAGAGAGGGACCAGGACATCTCCTAAAACCCTACCTGAAATAAGCATAGAAGATTACAAAAATTGTAAGTAATAGCAAGGAAATGCGTTAGATTATCTTTTGTTTTAGCTTGTGAATTTTCCCTATGTTAAGAGGGAGGTTTATTCCTGCTTTTTGTAACTTTGAAGTTGAGCCTAGAGGGGAATCCTCTGTGTTTTAAATCTTATTACCCTGTAAAATTACCTTCCATCCTGATTTTACAGAGTTGCTTCTTTTACTTTATTATAAAGAAAAAAGTTCCTCTTTTAAGAACCTGATTGGTTTTTAGT